AATTGATTGCCCTTGACCACTGTATGACGCTATATGATCACAAAAAACCTCTTCTTAATCTCAAAAATATGGTTTAACAATATTATTACAAATTAATAACTTGTTCCCGGTTATAAACTAAAATATTATCAATATTGCTTTTTGTAATGTGAATAATACATATCTACAAACCGGTCGTAGAATTTAAAAAATGGTGCAATTTAAGATCAATTCATTTTCTTGGTTCAAGGCCAAACTTAAGTTGTTTTTAGTGAAACCTTGAAATTAACAAAATAATTAAATGCTTTTTGTATGGAGTTAACGTGCTACCACCTCCAACGAAGCTAGTCAACATATTTATAAATTAATATCATAGCTTCCTTTTTTAACATTCTCGGTATTCCAATTTAAATAGAATTTAAATTGCTTCTATCCATTTCCATTGAGATTACGTGCGCATAAAAAAAATGAAATTTGTTGCCGCTACATCTTCAACATAATTTTGCTCCATATGTGCAGTCAATTCAATATTCTGTCCTGTGGGTATTTCACGTTTAGCAATTATGGCGGGGAGTCTTAACAAGTTAATCAAAACTATAATATGCTGTACAGCTGTTTTAGGCATTATAAAATTGTAAGGATATGAAATTCGATACCTATGAATGCCAATGTTTCCCCCCTCACTTGACGAGAGATGATCATGGTTAAATTGGGATAGAGATATTTAATGTCAGGTCGAATCTGAGGAGCAATTCACTCTGTGACACCCTGGGTCTGATCACTTTCCGCAGTCTTCTCACATAACGTATTTACAATCGCTGAAATCGGCATAAGCTCGTTCCGCAATTTACCCTAACATTCCCAGGAAATCTTGACCTGTATCTCCAACGTACGGCCTCGCGTACGGCGTTTAGAGTAAATTTGACCTGCTTGAAGTTCTTCTGTTTATCCGTCTGTGTGTATGTCGGGCATAGTATTCAGAAAAAATTAGGTAAAAAGAACAACTTAAAACCAGGTGTCAAATTCTTGACAGAATAGCTTCCTAGCTGAAACCAAAAATTGCCAACATATGCACGCACTTACCCATTTCCCACAGTTTTACTGAACTCCATATTTGCCAACTTTCTTCTTTGTGGAGATATTTCTTTGAAATTTTAACCACAGATGCTTGTAGTAATGGCAACATATCGCAAATCGTAAAAATCAGGTGTGCATATGCGCGCAAACTGCGCAATGCCAACTTTTTAGTGTATCACAACGATGCTGAGGTAACGCTTATGTGCTTGTGTTTTCGTCTGTCTGTCTATGTCCGTCCGTCTGTTCCATCGAGATCTCGGCCCCTGGGTCACCAAGAGACTTCAGATTTTCGCTAATTGATAGCTGCTATGGTCTATATTTGCCCATTACTCATCATTTACAATGTGTTACGCGGCAATACCCACGAGTGGGTTTTGAAACATTTTTTGGTAATAAAACCCGACACAATTTTTGTAGGTTGTACACAGGAAGATAAGATCTTCCAAATAACTCAATAAAAATTTCAGGTTACTATTTGAAAAAAAAAGTTTGATGCCATTGCGGCGCTCCAAAATTTTTTTTCAAAAATCCAGCCCGTTATTTTTCTGTTCGGTATGCCTAATATACATATCCGAAATTTGAACAATATCCGTCGAGCCGTTTTCTCAGAAAATTGCCAACAAACGTACGTACGTACATACAGACGGAAAAAATAAGAAAGGTGCATTTTTTACGCATGCATTTTGTTTGCTTTTATTAGAGGGACCTACCATCCAAATTTCGTTAAAATTGCTCCATAAATAAGAAAGTTGGATGTTGCACATGCGCAACTCGATTTTTTGCGCATGCATTTTGTTTTCTTTTATTAGGAGGACCTACCATCCAAATTTCGTTTTAATTGTTCCATAAATAAGAAAATTGCATTTCTGCGCATGCGCAACACGATTTTTGCGCATGAATTTTGTTTGCTTTTATTAAAGGGACTTACCATAGAAATTTCGTTTAAATTGCTTCAGAAACAAGATCGTTGCGTTTTGCACATATGCAACACAATTTTTTGACTTTGACAATTTTTTTCTCCGTTTTTTGATAATATAACCCGGCCCAATTTTTTGTAGGTTGTACACAGGAAAATAAGGTCTTCCAAATAATAGAATAAAAATTTTAGGTTGCTATTTGAAAAAAAAAGTTCGATGCCGTTACGGCGCTCCAAAATTTTTTTTCAAAAATCCGGCCCGTTATTTTTCTGTTCGGTATGCCTAAAACATATATACAAAATTTCAACAAAATCCGTCGAGCCGTTTTCTCAGAAAATTGCCAACAAACGTACGTACGTACGTATACATAGACGGAAAAAAATTTTATTCTTTAAAAGTTGCTTAAAATGGTCTAAAACGTCGACATTTGATGAAATTTTGAAATGTTCAAAAAACGGCTATCGCAATAGCTACCTAGCATATACTAGGAAGCTAAAAAGAAACTGAACAACTGAACCGAACAATTCCATTTCACAGGACCAATTTGCTATTTCAGCTGATTGTGTTCATGTATTGTAACGGGTAAGTTTACAAAGGGCTAGCGTTATTTGCTTTTGGGCAAAAATGTCACAAGACGATAATCTCCAAATGGGTTTCATTATTATTTGCGGTTAGGAACTATATCTCTTGGACACAACGTATATGTCTTTTTTTGCTGGCAAAAAATTATGTTCTTTAAAAATGCTACTTTCAATTAAAAAATGCTGTTGATTTTAATTCAACGAAAAAATGTGCTGTACAATGTTACCATGACGTTGAATCCATCGTGAAACCACTCCCATGGAGACAATAAATTCAACAACATTTTTAATAAAATTGAAAAAAAAATTACAATCTGAGAACGGCTACCGTTACAGTTACACGAAGATCCAAAAATTCATCATAACTCACCACTGAATTTCTCAGACCTTGAAAGCTCATTACTTTGTATCTAACTGTTCAAAATTCTCCTTGTAGCATGCAAGATATTTCATGTTCCCCATCGCACTCCTTTACAACTCCATTACAAAAGGTTTTATTTATGCTAATATCTCGGCTTCACTTCGCAAGTGAATCAAGGGAAGAAATTGGTTTTTGAACACACGGAGTGCAGGGGTTGAGTAAAAACTTAATTTTTAACGTTTTTAAAAATTGCATCGTCATTGAAAAAACTATTATCCTTCTATCTCATTTCCATTACTTCCATTCCCATATCTCCATTCCACCTTTCTTACCATTGCATTTCATTCGAACAGGTATTTTCTTGTTCTGGACCCGTATTGTTAGGTTCATAGGAATAGAATTTGTGTGAGAAAGAGTGCGGATTCTATTCATATGAACCCAAGTATAAGGGCTATGCAGTAATTCTTGAATTCAATTACACTTTAGTCTTTTAAGAATTTTAACACTAGAAATGCCCCCTCGAATGGCCCAAAGTTTCAGTCTCACATCAACAGAAACAAGTTAAAAAGTAATCGTAAACGATTTACATAAAGCGCATTTCCACTTGCATTCATTTCCCATTTGTAAGATGCAACTTCTTTAAAATCGTAAAAATCCGGCCACAAATATGAAAGATAGCGTTGCACATGGGCAATCCATTTTTGACGTGCTACTTCAATTTCAGTTTATGAGAAGAATTTCATTTTAATGCTTTTCTAAATAAGAAAGTTTGAACTGCGCATGCGCAAACCTAAATTTTGAAACTGGCGTTTGATTTTCCTTTATTCCAAGTGCCTATGTATCAAATTTCATTCAAATTCTTTTATAAGTAAAAAAGTTAGCAATTCGGTTTATAAACGGTCGAGATGCGAAAAGGGCACTGTGAATTTTGAATCGTAGAAGCGTTGGGGTATAAATCCGGAGGTCGGGTGTTCGAACCTGGTTTGAGGTGAATTTTTCATCTGTGGCAGAGATGGGATTTTCCTTAGATCAGTTTCGAGCATTCCGCCGGCTACTCCGAATTAGGTTTTCCTGCAGTTTTCCTAATTCACAAGGTAAATACCGGAGTAGTATAGAACAACTTAAGACCTTCTGCAGGGGCACCTCTAAAAAGTAATATGCGGGTCACTCTGTAATTGGGCGTAAGCCTGTTGAGGGCCTAGGACAAGAGAGACAATAAATAAATAAATAAATAAACTTTTAGCATTGCGTATTATATGGCTAAAGCTATGCCCATATTGAATTTCATGCAATTCAGTTCATAACTAACGGAGATGTAAAAGCGATCGGACATTTCTAAACAAAGTTATCGTTCACACGGACAGGTAGATGGACAGACAGACAAAGGAACAGACGGACATACCAACAGGCAGACGACAGATAGCAATGCAAAATTATAAACGATCTCTAGGATCGTTAATAAACGGCAAAAGTGTAAAATTATGGAACATGTAAAAAACGGTTTTTTGTTTTTTTACAATAACTTTTTTTTGTAAGCGGTACAGAAAAATTTCCTTCCTTTGTACAAGACTCGACACCATAACGAACCAAATAGCGAAAAAAGTAGAACAATAGCTCTTAAGATAAAGAACTAGTAGCGTCGCAAAACGAGCGGACGGACGAACGGACAAAGTGGCCCCAATAGCGCATTTTTTTTTATTTTTGTGGAAATGCGCTAAAAAGGTAACACACAAGTGTCACTTCAATACTGTTCCTGTAAAAAGTCATGATATTTATTTAGTTCACACCAGATGATTATGATTAAAAAGCAAACATGATTTGAGCATGATTATCAAAAGGATAATGATAAAAAATTATTACATAAAAGATTAAAAAAATTCAACACGCTATTAGTGGACTATAATTGATAAAGTCACATTCTACAAAGAGATGGGGTAGAAAGTAGAAGGATAAGTTAAGTTTTTGGAGAAATTCAAAAAATTGAGCTTTCGATTAATTAATTGTAACATTGAGCTTTTGTTAATTGGTTTTTTTTCACTGTTTTTTTAATTGTTTGCAATGTTTTAATTGTGCTTTCTTTTTCAGTCCCAACAATACCGCCTTGAGTTCCTTGGATCAAGTGAAAGAATATTTATTGACTCCTGGTACATGCAAATGCGGATTAGAGTGTCCTTTGAAGTATGATACTGCGTTTAATTTTGATCCTAAGGCAAGCATATTGTTATAATGTGATAGTTTTAATTTTAAAATACAAATTGTGTAGGTTTTTGGAAAGCCTTGGACTTTATCTCAAGATACATCTTCCATGGATTTAAATAAACTTTGTAACCATAAAAGGAAAATTATTTCAATGCTTTCATTAGGGGACAAACAATCGGATCCTATCAAATTCCGGAAAGGTACTTATTCTTTGCATAGTAATAGCTGTAATAATAGTTTGATTTTTAGATATTTCAACAAAACGAAAGAAACGACGAATCGGTAGCCCATATTCTGGCGTTTCAGTATCTCAGCTTTTGGCACAACGTGATAAATTAGCTTTATCCCATCCAGTTCTATGCAAAGGAAATAATTTAGGTTTTCCTAATCAAGTATGTTGAATAAAATTAGAATACCAAGTTAGTTATTAATATTATTTTCAGGTTTGGCCTAATGTACCTGGAAATAATGCACAGCAAGTCCACAATCGAGAGTTCCCAGATGGAATACCTAACCAAATTCCCCAAGGATCTAATTTACAGTTTTATAGATATCAAAATCAAGAAGCATCCGTGAATAGAGTACTCATGGATCCTCAGGCTAGTGGCGATTCAATGCATTTGCAAACATCTTCGAATCCAAACATATCACGACATCAGCAACATTCAACACCACCTTCACTATTTCATGCGGTTCCCAATTATATGAAACAGTGCGATGTTCCTAACCCTTCACAAATTCAACTACATCAGCAACACATCGTTGGTGCAAATGGTCAAATCATAAGTCTTCAAAATCCAGTTTATCCGAATGTTTCTCATTTAAACAATGGTGGTGGTGGATCCATGGGTAATAATCCTAATGGAATTATTATACACGACCCAACCGTAATAACAAATCAAGAACAACACCAAAAATTGTTTGTCAATAGTCCAAGTATCGAATCAAGTGGACCAGGACGGCCAAGTATGCAGGCATTACCTATTGTTCAACCTGCACCACAAAAACAAGACGGTAATCGATTACAACAACAGGCCTTTTGCAGCGAATCGTTTCATTACCAAGGTGTAATGCAACATTTTGATGGCAACAAAAATGTGAGGCCATCATTTGTTCCTGGGAATTGTACAGTTAAACCAGATCCACAGTACAATCCTATAGTTCAGCAAAGTAATCAAATGACTATCCAAAATGCTAGTGCCCCCATTCTTGTACACCAAAAGGAGAAGGCATTATGGCAAAGTCGACCACAGAATAGCATATCAAACTCTGTTCATATTAATCAATCATCTTTATCTCCACAAGTCAAATCTCAAACAGGGAATGCAGAAGAACGAGTCCCACCAATTTACCAACACACACCTTCTGTATCGGTATGGTCCGATGACATTGCGCGAAAAAAAGTGAAGGTGTCTAAAAACATTAAGAAAAGACAATTTGAAAACTCCCGGGTAGTTCAAGTAGAATCTTCATGCTCTAATGTTGATACTAGACAGCAAGCCAATGAGAGTGAAAGAACGGCAATTTCGGAGGAGTCTCCACAAAGCACTCCAAATTCATCTAGTCCATCTTTTATGGAAGATCCTAGCGGTTACCTAGCACAACAAACTGCACTTCTAAATAGTACCATATCAAGACAAATGGGAATGAATAGCTGTGGAAATTTCATGTGTAGTAGTCCAGTCACATCGGTTCAAAACACTCAAGTGCAACATTTGTCGAGTTCTGAAGTAAATGAAGTGCCTTTGCCAAGCAACATTTATGTATCACAAGTCAAACAGAATTCAAACAAATTCAATCAAAATGTGCCCGATCCTAATAATACAAAAATGTTACACATTTCTCAAAATTCTGTGCCACAGCAGTATAATCAAACAATTATGGCAAAGGGACCAGCAGATAGCACAGATCATATACAGTGCCAAGTTTGCATTGCCGATACCGCCCATTATCAACAACAAAAAGTTGTGGATCCATCCAATCCATATCTTACCAAAGAATATTTTCAAGGTAATAGAGTTTTTGATCAAGGTAGATCAAATGCGAACAATCCAACTTCGTCAAATGTATTGGATGATCCCGTAACATCATCGACGTATATTGATAAACAACCAAGCGATGGAGATTCCCCAGATTCGAGGCCTATTCAAGGAGGAACCATTAGCACTAGTAACATCTCGTCATCGGATTGTTCTCAATCTGAGCCTTCAACACCAAACCCTCACACGCCCACAACACCTCAACCTATATTTTCTGATACACCACATCATAATGTGACGAGTATGGCAAATGTGCAACAGTCTTGTCCGGTGGAAGTAACATTTCCTTCTTCTTACAACAACCCTTCAAGACCAAGCGAATATGTAAACCCGCATCAACAATCAATGGCTGTGTCAAGAATTGGTAATTTAGGTTTATCACATCCTGGCGTTATTACCACTATGGCAAGCGGACGAACCGTTAGTTGTAACACAATAACGTCGGTTTTAGCTGGCCGGGCCAATACATCGACCGTTTCTGTGAATAGCCCAGTAAATATTCCAATGAGCACGGTTCCTTCGGTATTTACAAATCAAGATTCTCTAACCATGTCATCCATTAATGTACCGTCACAACCCATCACTAAATCTCCTCTGGAAATGGTTCAAAGTGTGGTTAGCAGCATTCAAGTACCGCAGTCTCATAACACTTCGGCTGGAAGTATTCAGCAACACAATCAGCAAATATCGCCGCTTCAAATTATCAAACACTCACCTACGCAAGGTTTACCTCCCGGTCACATTTTGGTGTCTTCTGGAGGACAGTTGATAATGGCAAGTAGCAGTAGTGGACCAAATGTGATGCCTCCACCTCTACCAAAGATTGTTACAAATCAAAATTCTATGCCTCCGATATCAGTGTCTCCTATGGTTACAAATGTTACGGCTTCAGTTACTCAAGTTATACCGGCAGTTGCCCAGCAAGTGTTAGGGCAACAGACCGTTTTGGTAAACGCTTTGCCCGCACCTTTTATGCTTCAGCCGGGTGTGACCATGACAATGGATGGTATGGCAGTTGCTCCCAACGTTCAAATACCACATTTAGTAGCTGGAAATGTAATTCAACCACAGCTTCAAGTCGACGGCTCTGATCCTAATCGTGTTTTAACACGGACCACTGCAATTTTATCACCTGACGCAAAGAAGAAAGGAAAGAAACGAAAAATGCCTTCACAAACTATCGCATCAATGTTACAATATGCATCACAGCAGAATTCTGGTGTAGTAATGTCTCAACCTAGTTTCCCTCAACAAATTCAAATGGCACACAGCCCTCAAGGTTTAACTTCCGGTCCAGTTATGCAAGCTTTAACCATTGTTCCTGGAAAAACGGGCGCACCAACCCAAATTGTAATGAATGGTCAAACGGTCGGTAACACAAGTCAGTTTGGTCCACAACAGCTGATAACAAATTCCAATCAAACCCCACAGATTAATTTACTGCAACCCGTTAATTTGATCAATAGTACCACAGGTATGGTTCAAAATTTCCCTACTATACAACAGTTTATTGTACCAAATTTGGGAGGTATGGTTATGAATGCGGACGGAACAGCGACCATTCTTCCCGACACTTCTAATTTGGGTATGCATCTACAAATTCAAAATGTGAATGGGCAGAATGTTTTAACGCCCGTGCAGAATAATAATGTATTTGGAGGTGGGCAAGGTATTCTCGCGGCTGGTCCTGCAGGAATGGTTATTCGTACACCAAATGCTTCACAAGGGAAAATTATACAACAGCAACACAGTCCAGGTGCGCAATTTCTGTCTCCCAACGGAAATCAGTTTGTAGTAAATGGTGCCCAGTTTAGTGGCCAACTTAGTCCTCTTATAACAAATGTGAACCCGGCACAAGTTACTTTTAGTGCTGCGCCTCAAGCAATTCGGCCTAATGGAGCTGTTCAACAAAATCAGCCAGAGTTTATTCAGTGTGGTCAAGTGGGCCAAACTTTAGTTGTGCCAGCAGGGAACATCACCGTGTCTACGGCAAACCAGCAGAATACTACATTTGTTCAACAAAATACCACAATTGTCCAACAACAAACCACCATGGTTTCTAATAACCAACACCTACAAAACATGCAAGCAAGTAATCAAAATAATCCGAATGTTGCTAGTCGAACAACTACATTGAATGTAGATCAGAACTTAATTTTGAACGCCAATGATAATCGTTCTCTGCAGGCGGTGCTCATGCAGGGACAAAATGCGCAGCTGTCCTCTGCATCGTATCGTCATTCAGTTTCTACTCAAACAGCTGTAAATCAAAATAATCAAGCTGTTACCACCAATACATTTTGTCAAACATCTGCGTCTGCGGGTAGTCCCCCTGATACTACTACTCTCAGTCCCCTCGCTCAGGATGTACATCGGCCACCTACCGCTGACACCACAACTCACATGGAAAATAATGAAGACGGTTTATCCCCAACTCCATCATGTATCGATATAAATGTGTTACAAGCTGGGTCAAATTCGTGTTCGGTGGTACGTTATCGCTAGTTTTTAAAGCACACCTTCGAAAATCTATTGTAGGCAATGGTGGATTGCATATCTAGTAGTGAACCTGATTCAGCGGACAACAGAGAGCACAGTTGGCCGCAAGTCCATCCCCAGCCGAAATTGGAATTTACCGAGGTCAGTAGCGGCGAAGATGAGTTACAGTTGCACACAACAAGAAAATCGAATAGTCCCATACACATTGAATACCCGGAATCGTCGACGATGGGTTCCGAAATTCACTACACAAAGGAACACATAAATCTTCAGGAATCGACAGTTTCTTCTAAGAACGCTGATAAAATGTCCCATAAGCAGAAGCACGCGAATATAGGGATAGTTCCGGAAAGTAGGCATATATATTTGTCTCTCTTTCAGGATGAAAAAGGTAAGATTTTAACTTTTATCAAGTGCTACTATTTTAACCAAAATAATAGTTACCATAGGGGCTGTGTGGTCATATGGCGAAAGTACGTGTTTTGTACACTTTGAGCCTAAAAGAGTTTAAATATTAGTTTGAAGGAAATTTTAGTTAAGTCCTCCCACTAAGAATTGGTTAGGTGAGTATAGCTTAATGATATTTAAACAGCATAAACAAGCTTAAAAATCATTAGGAATATCATCTACTCTTTAGTCACTGGAAGTCTTAGTGCACTAAATTTATATGGGCATTTGATTCGATAGGCATTCGTATGGAATGGAGTGCAGCATTCCTGAGAATGTTTGCCATAGTTCCTCATTACACTTTCCAATATTTCCACTGGAATCGAACATTAAGAAAAGTTACAAGACAGATTTATTTGTGTACAAATTAATTTATTTAAAAAACATGTCTTCTCTGTTTATCTTGTTTTGTAGGTTATGCTTTTGGAGGATAAGCATTTTCATGTAGCACGTGCTGCACTATGTCATCTTAAAAAAGGTCCAAATTATCTATGACTTTTCACTGTGACAAGATTATTGATTGCTTACTCATTAACATGATTAGTGAGTTGCAGTTCTGTAAAACTTTCAATATGCTCCCACTGAATTGTTATGTAGGAGGTAATCAGTTGGAAATATCTTAGAATGACCATTATTTTGTTCGTTTGAGTAGAAAGTGCCAATTGTTGTACTTTAAGATGATTGGCAGTTGCTGATTTGTAAACCCTTTCTGCTGTCCATGACTATTACACTACCACTGGATTAGCAAAAGAACGCATAATATATTTCTTTAGTTGTAGATTTTCTTTCACTACTTTGGTAACATGAGGTAGAGCATTGTCGTGTAGCAGAATCATACCATGTGGTAGCGTCCCTTCACTTTTTCTTGTTGGAGCTTGTTCAAAGTTTCATTTTACAGGTTTGCACTGATATCCACTGTAGGCTCTGTAAACTATGACCAAGGGTCGTTCATGGAGTCGAAAAAAAAAAAAGTTAACATAACCTTGCCTGCAAAAGGTTGAAGTTTTAACTTCTTTGGTGACAGAGAATTTGCTTGTTTTCATTGCATCAGTTCATGAGTGAGACTCCCTGGATGGTTCAAAATAATGACACCAACATTCGTTACCAGCAATTAATGACGAAACAAAGTCATTAGGTATCATTTTGTCTGTATTGCACACAGACCACATTCCTGGTCCATCTTATAATTCGTCTCCTCTCTTCCACGCTGGATACGCAAAATATGCATTCGCATATGGATTTGCAGTGGTTGCAAACCTTCAGCACAACAATTTATGACTACATCCTGATTATATCTGGACGGATTGTTAATTGTTATCAACAAACATCATTTAAAGTAATCATACTTAAAATCACTGTCAAATACAAATGACAAGATGGAAGAAGGATGCTATTCATAGGAACCACTGAACTATACTTATACTGGAATGCGCGCTCTGTCTGCCACCAGCCCAATCCGAAAGAGGGCTAGAAGAGACATCTCTGTATTTAGTGATGGTGACAGAAACGACTCTCTCGGACGAGCGACAGTGATAGAAATTCCTCTTGGTCGCTATCTCTCTCGGCGCGCTACGTTAATATGGGGGGAGATCGCCTGTGTGCGTTTCAGCATAAGTATTCGCGATTCAGATTAACACTAGAGGCGCTGGTGTAATTTATAAATGACTGGCAGGTTTTAAGTGAAATTGTACTAATTTGAATATTTGGAATTATACAGGGTGCGCTCACAAAGTAGGGCGCCAAAATGGTACTTTTTTGAAACCCCCTATATTTGAGTGCTTTTTTTAATTCTATGTGTAATTGTACCACTTTTTTACTATACGGTTAATATCCGAAAAACTAGTGGTTTTAAAGATAATTCGATTTGTAAGAAAAATTTGGCACTTCCAAGCGTTAGTATATTGTCAAAATTATTACTTATATGTTGATTCCAGGATATATTTTATCCTGGGTAAAGTAAAAGTCAAATAAATACATCTACTATGAAACATTAATAAAATAGCTTACAGAGGTTTTTTTTGTAGGGCCAAAGTTGCGAAACTTCATAATAGAAAACTCACTTTCTTTAAATGGAATATCCTGTGTATATTTCTGTCATCTTTTAGCTCCTCCAAAAACCTTCAACTTTTCATAATAATGTCCTATACGTATCTCTGATAGTTTTCGAAATATCTTGGTTTTCCTGGTTTTTATATTTTAACATAATAACTTCTATACATAATCGTATTTGTCCGAGGTTTTTTATCACTTGTCTTCTTCTCACTCTTGTATGTTTCGTTTTTGAACATTCAACATTCCATTGCAGTTTTAATAATGTCAACATCAGCATCAACTGCATGAATGACTGAACATCCATGTTGCCATATTTCTTTAGCGATTGGAGTAATTGGTTCTTGCTTGTTTCCCTTATTAGAAAGAAACATTTTCTTATTATTTCCTGTGAATGTCGTATTGGGTGTGAAGGTAATGCAATTAGTACACAATAAGGTCTATTTTGAGTGCACATTTTTTTCCAAAATTGTGTCCATATAAATATTTCAAAACTAAATAGTTAAATGTGACCGCTATTTTAAGAAAAAAATCAAGTAAAGTTAGTGGTTATTTTTCTTTTATTCTTGCACTAGTACTCTCAGTGAACTTCGTACCGTCTTTGGGAAATCCAGTTTTTTCTCGTACCCTCGTTCTCGTGGAAACTTCGGAAAGTTCTTTCAGAGTACACCTTACAACGCCTTCAAAGAAACCTACGTTCCAGTGGGAATTTTGGAAAGCGTTTTACATACCTTTGCGGGCCTATTTCCAACCATTCCACTAAGTTTCATCGCAATCGGTCACCACTCGAAAACTTTGCTTGATAATAAAAAATGAAAAATTATATATTTATTATAATATTTATTATTATTATATATTTGAAAAAATCGTTGTACGACGCCTTGACACTAAAAACTTATGTATTTAAAAAAACCTGTAGATTGTACAGGGTGTTTTGTGGCTCATAATTGGGATGTCCATAACGGTGAGAGATACAGTGTAGGTTATATGGGATCAAAGTTGCCCTTGTGTGTGACTAAAAAAACGCATTTGAAATTTTTGAAAAACTTGCTGAGATCGAAAAATTGAAAATGTCAAATTTCGTTTTTATTTTCCCTATCGTGAACGGTCAGAAATGGACGGTTTCCGTTAGCACCTTCTATGGGCACTTTTTTTGGAGAATGAGAATTTGTTATCAGAATTTCCATAACACGCTAGACGTAGAAGCTATAACGATTGGAACCAAATTTAATACACATATTCTTAGATATAAAAGGAAGAGCTTTTGGACAGAACGCGCATGCGCAGGGTTGAGGGTGGTATCTGTGCTAGCCTTTTTTTTTATTGGTTTATGGCTATGCCCTTGTAACTGTCGGTTGTCAGTGCCAGGCTAAATGAGGTAATATGCCTTTTTCATTAATGTAACATTATGAGAAAAAAGTACAAAATTACAATAATATCTATATATATAGACATGCCTATGTAATTATATTTATGGAAGGTAACGACTGTAAAATATATTTTATTTTTAATTAATACACTTTTTTTTAATCGAATCTTAAAGATTTAATTAATTTTACTTTTTTATTTAGAAATTGCCAACTATCCACCAACTTAAAGATGAGGCATGCTCTGCAAAAAGGAACTGTGATAAACATAACCACCCATTACGCAAAATGTGGTGAAAAAAGGCAACAAGGTGATTATGAAGTAGATGGGATTCTGTTTACTATTAAGTCAAAGAAGTTTACTTCATTAAATTTTATTGGACCAACATCGAATAATTATTTGGAAAACTATTTATACATTTCGGTTCTTAGGTGAAACATATTACACAATAGCGCAATACTGTGTATAAGGGCGCCGATGTATTCTAATTGGTGAAGTTTCCTAAATGGTAATAATAATAATAGTAAATATTACATTATGGTTATATAATGAAAATATTTTTAAAATGCCTTTTTTAAATTAGTGTAAGTGGGCACGTGGATATAATAATTTTGTTTGCCTAATGTTTAAAATTTATTATTAATACATACTAGTTTTATTATGTAAAATCATAACGTAAATTGGGCTTTCAATAATCTTTGTCTATTTAGAATGTATTTAAAATAGAACATAGAATATGAAGTATAAATAAACTTATAATGATTCTTATAACTGTAATGATATAGAACAGGCCACCAGTACATTTTGTATTTTCTAGTCAAGCATCTGAGCAGACGTTTGTAATGACAATAACATTATTATTGGGTTCGTTAATTTCGTACTGTGATATGCAGGTATAAGTACACACAGTTAAATATTTCTTAAGTTTGCGTATATGCATGCAGCTATCATTCATTTGTTGTTATAGTATATTATAGCTTTTAAAAAGTAACCATTTACAGCTGAATTGTACTACGTTGGTTCTGTAGCTTTGATAATCTTTTGTGAAGTTTGATGATTTTATAGCTTTGCACATTTTAAATCTAGTCTGTGGTTCTAATGCGACAACTTTATTGTATTGCAAACATTTTTTGTTTTTAGTTCTATGTAAAAAATCACTAGCGCTCGATTACGTTCTTTCCCTGAAACCATACGGCACAAGTAGCTTACAAAATATGGTCTGTTTGGGTAATTGTCACTGTAATTTACTTTCAAAAGCAGTAGTTAGAACTACACCATTGTCATTGGAGCGATTTTCGCAGAAGTATGGTAAAGGACAATTCATTTATCAAACACAATCTCCTAATCTACCAACAGTAAATTCTAATTGAACAACCAATAGAAAGAGCAAAGAAAATCCCAGTGTAGTAAATTGTGTAACAGTTTTTATTGTAAAACTAAGTTTTACTATTTATGTATTAGAATACAATCTGACGAAGTTAATTTTAGTTCATTTGAAAAGTAGTTTTCTTTAGCAATGTTCCCACTTCTACTTTAAATAAAGGCATTGTCTTCCTTAGTGATGTACTCCAAAACAACAGCTGCCAATAGTATTTTTGGAACACATACGTTTTGAGTTAAACGCAGTTTAAAGTTTGTTGCATGTTATTAATTTGTTGAGCGTGATATGGCCACATGATTCAACAAAGAGACCATTAGTAATTGCCATTGGAGATCAATTACAAGAGCTTATAGAACTCGATCCTCCCGAAATTAGGTACCTTTTCATAGTTAAAAGTATAGCAGAAATTTAAATCGAACATGGATATAGTAAATAACTAACAACAACTTTAAAATTGCAACCACAACTTTTATTTAACACTATCGTAACCGAATCTTTCAGATTAGCTTAACAGTGTTGAAGGGGCCGATTTTAGAAGGTGTCTTAAGAGTTTACAGAGCCTTTATTTCAGTTGTAGAAAAATGTAGTGTTTTTAACTTTGACTACAAATTTACAAGCAGTTGATTCTTAACATTATTTGAACCTATATCACGCTTTATGTTTTGCAACATACGCTGTGATGTCCCTTTTCACAAACGATGATTAATCACCGTTTGTGAACCACGCCTGAGATAATTCAATCTTGCTACACTAATTTCTTAGGCTGTTGAGTTCTATCTACATTCTAGTAGCTTTTTGAAATCAATTCCCCTTAGAAACAAAAATGGAAAAAATTAAATTAAGAAAACCATTTTTGACAGCAGAATCAATAACTTTCTTTAGTGGTAAAATTGCGTAACATAAGGTAAACTATAACACATGAAGCAACTATTTAATTATAAGTTTTTCTACAATAAAAAATAAAGACACTGTAACAGAATTCAAAATCTTCCATTTGAAGGACTGCAAAAGGGCTGTTGGCAGTTGGCAACTTTGCAAGAATTGCTTTAATTTACTTTGTATCTATAATAGTACTAGTAATAAAATTATCCCAGTGATTATACCAAAGAAATCAAACTGTGCCACTTATTTTTCTTTTTAGTAATATTGTTTAAATACTAGTATTCTTATTGTTTTCACAAAAGTTTTGTTTAATTTCTCATTCCAGTGATTTCATTATTATACAGCAAAGCTATAAAGTTAATAATTACAGTTAATTACAAGTTAAAGTGAAAATGCAGCTTACACCATCGGGTGATATCAACATCTCCTTTTATCTTTTGCATTATAAATATTGCTTAATTTGATTTGTTTTTTATATAAACAAGCCATATGTTTTGGCCATTTTATTTTACAAATATCAGTTATATTTGTATAAAAAATGTATTTGTATATAAGGTTTGGTCTACTTTGCTGAATTAGTTGTACATTTATTATGTTTCAAATTACTTTAGTGAACCATAATTTGTAAAATATTCAAGTAGTTATGGATTATTATAAAAGGATGTACTATATTTTTATATATGTATTTATTGTTTACTTTAAGTTATATAGAATTGCTTATTTATTGTATATTTATATTGCAAAAAAGAGGTTTATATGCTTTATGTTTTATTTATTTCTAATTTTCGACACATCACGTTGCTGAAGTTACATCAATCGAAATAGATAAGCTATTAGCTGAAAGTTTTTGTGCATTTTATAATGGTATTAACATATATAATTTATATTTCCTTTTTGTAAATATTTTTAGAGGTACCTGTTTCTCTATGTCACTGATTTCTATTGTAATTCTGTGTAATTGTTAATTACTCTTGTATGGCTGGTCTTGTACAAATATTGCAAAATGTGCTCACGCCTGCAAGAATGATTACAAGAAAATATAATACAGTGTTAGCGCTACTTCATCACAAGCAGTTGGCTATGTGTGGTAGCACACCATCTACTGTTTGTAAATATATTGTATTAACAATACTATTTGGCCTGCTAGTTGTTGAACATTTTGTCAGCCCAATAAATACTGAACTAATATTTCAGTCGATAACATTTATTTTGTTTAATAGTTTGCTTGTTACAGGTGAAGAAATCGACTGTGTACACACCATCATCATTATAAATGGAATAAAAATGTCTAGTACCGCGCATTTAATTGCTGTGCGATGGAAGGGAATACATTCCCTCTTGCATGTCAGTTGAAGGTTCTTAAAATATTACTTCCAAACTTTTTGGTTAGTAGCCTATCTGAAAGCAGCGAAAAATTTATTACAAATGTAATATACAAGTGACTTAGGCACGCAAAAACTTCTGATTCGATGATAGGTCACAGGGTGACCAGTGACCACTGATTGAGATGGTGCTGCGGTCCTAATTTGTTTGTTGTTGTTCTGCCGTTACAAAGTTGTTGGTGCATGATACAGATTGGTTCCAGTGCAGACGATTTGCACAGAATGAATAACCACCTTGCCAGCCAATTTGAATTCTGTCAAATTTATTCCACTGGCCTTCACACTACAGATATCAACAAGATTTTTATTTATAAAGATTTCAAGAACATCTAGGTCTTTTCAAAGGCGTCTTAAGGTTGTTTGTAACTATCATTTGACTTGCACCTGCGGGACAACGGTAAAGGGAATACAGAATTAAGGCGGAAAGACAAGAACCAATGTAATACGCGCTAGTCAATTAGAACGTACTTTTTATTCGGTACAGTATCCGAATAGTACCGAAACCCTTCTCCGCGGTTTTCACGTATATTGGAATTGGGAAAGCAATGCGTTGACTTTTTTGCTTGTAATTCGTTGCTAAATGTATATGTGATTTGAAGTTTCAATTAAAATGTGCAAAGTAAATGAAATTTTATCCACCTCGACAAACTCACTAAAATGCAAAAATAAATATAGTCGTAACAAATTTTTGCCTACCCACGCTTCGGATAAGAAAAGTGTTAAAATAATTATCGTTCAGGGTTCCTTATGGATAAATTCCTAGGAAATCTAGGTTTCGGGGAGAAGACATGTTTCATAAAAGTTTGATAATTTACTTTTCATTTTAGTTTCCCAAAACGTATTGTCCCGCGATATCTAAAATGGTCATGTAAATATAATTTTTTTTATTTTAAAATTACCTTCAAAATTTTAAAATCTAGAGGAGTCCAAGTGACAAAGTAACAGTGGTCTTTTTGGCATACCTCTATCTGTCCTTGTATTTGATACATATATATAGAAAAGAAGGTGAAGGAATAAAAATTCTAACCGAATGTGCTCGCAACTCGCATTGTCAGTGGTGGGAGTAAGCGGCGGAATTTAATATACTGCTAGAGGCAGCACCGTCTGTAGCAAAATTAAATTAATCCTTTTTTCATAAATTACAGATTTATTTACAAAAAAATGGAAATTTGTCATTTCATAAAACCCTATTATGTTTCATTGATAGTACGCTCATATATGTCTATTATTTACAAAAATTTTTGCTTGTTTTTAAAACTATTCAATTTTTGAGATCTCAGTGCAAATAGTAACAGTTAACTGCACAAATGTGCAAAATTTCAAAAAAATCGGACTATAATTACGCCTGAAATTTATGAAAAACGAAATAGTCCATTCACAAACAGCCTTAAGTTTTAATTTTTTCCAGCGCTAACTTAACGATGAAGGGATTACAAAGGGCTGAGAAACTTTAGAAAGAGTCTTTTTGGTAGAACTAGAAACCTCTGTGGGGCCTAGTAACCTTTGAAGAGGGACTAGAAATCTTTGAATCATTCTGTAAAGCGTCTGAAAATATTTGGGAGGGCGATAGGATGTTTTGTAGAGGAGTTCTCAAGTTCAGAAAAGTATTGTGCTGCAATGTTTTTCCTTTTTCCATGTTCTGGGGAAGCCTTTCCAAGTCTCTTAATTTAAAGGACCTTACTTGACGAGGAAATATCCTATAGACGGCCTTGGTAAGGGCAGAGGCAGGTTTGGAAAGAATTTTAAACAAACTTTGAGTTGAGGTTTAAAAATCCGGGAAAAATTCTAAAATCTCTGCGAGAGAAGTACAGTGCTCTGGAAAGCATCTAGCATGTTCTGAAAAGTGTTTTATTGTGTTGTGAAGCCTTTGAATTCTCTGAAAAACATCTGTAGGTGTAAGGCTTGCTATTACAGCTTTTTAGTGCTTTCCTTTGGGGATCTCTTACATTTTTGTTGAAGTAGTTTCGAAGCTAAACGAACCGCGCAAGTTAAAAAGCTTAGAAGGTTACGGGTAAGGGTATTGGAACGCTCTGCAAAAAAACCAGAAATCTCAGTTTGTTCATGACTACAAATCTAATTTATGGTTTTTGATATGTACTCAGATTGTGTGGCTTCAACGGCCACAATGATTCTATTATATTTCTAGGTTACCCTACTTTTGGATCACACTCAAACTCTGTATAAATGAGGGAACACACCCAACAGAATTTTTTACAATTATTGATAGCCTTGAGATGCTTCATTAGACTTTTTGTTTCATAGAATAGAATAATTAATTTTTTTCACGTTCGTAAAATAAAGTACATTTTCCATCAATTTGCGTTGATAAAGGATGCGTTTGTTTCGTCCGCTAGTAGCGTGAAAAAAAGTGCCGTAGCGGTTCATTTTTTAACGCATTTGAGTGAAAAAAGTAACGTAACGTGTTATTTTTTTAACGCAAACTATTCAGACAAGAAACATAGGAGGCCGCCGTTGCTATGATACTCGCTGACATTTGTTAAAATTATAAGTACATATTAAGTTCATCTCGCTGTGTTTTGGGTAATTTGTGTGCTTGAACGATGGAAATGAACAGTGATGCGAGTTTTTCATGCACCCCCGAAGAAATTGTGAACGCGGCAGGTATACCTGCCGCGTTCACAATCGTCACCAGAGTTGGACTGGGTCAAGCATAGAGTGACCCAGTAACCCGGTGACCCAGTTAGTTTACTGACCCAGGTGACCCAGTTTGACCCGGTGACCCAGCTTGACCCGGTGACCCAGCTTGACCCGGTGACCCAGTTTGACCCTGTGGCCCAGCTTGACCCAGTGACCCATCTTGACCCAGCGTTACTTAGTGACCCATCTTGACCCGGTGACCCAGTAATTAAATTCTTGTTAGGTATCATCCAAAACAATTTCAAGTAACTTTTAATTTAAAAAAAAACTTCCTCAATAATATTCGCCAACAAGCACGTAGCCCAATTTCATTCAAGAGAACTAATACCTAAAAAAATCAAATGCATTTGTTTATAGTTTGTAGTCAAGTAGTCAATGAAAGTATTTAGAGAAAAGATTTATTTGGATTAAGTTAACTAGTAGAAAAAAATTAAAAGTGAATGAATATACCTGTAAGCAAACTGGTAAGCCCTGAAACAAAGAAATGAAGGAGGGAACTGTTTAGAAATAACATTATTCTAATACAATTCGGGACATGGAAGGTTTTTTACGGCAGTATTAAAGCAAACATCACAGAAATGGCAGTTGTCAAGCAATCGAGTATTATTTTCAACAAACCAGCATTCCATTTATTTCATAATCTGTACACTTGAACCGAGGGCACTGACTTAACTGCGTTATTCGATTAAACTAGGTGACTGGGTCGAATTGGGTCCTCGGGTGAAATTGGGTCGCTGGGTCAAACTGGGTCACTGGGTCAATGGGTCAAACTGGGTCACTGGGTCAAACTGGGTCACTGGGTCTAACTGAAGAGAGTATGACGTGACCCAGTGACCCAGTTTAATTCAGTGACCCAAGTGACCCAGTCCAACTCTGATCGTCACCTACAATCTGTTACCCGAAAAGTCCAAGGACCAATATTTGAAGGAATATGATTTATTTATGAAATGGAGAACCGAAAAACACGTTGGAAGTTTTAGTGAAAGGGTGTTATTATGTTATTTTGAAGAAAAATCAAAACAATGGAAGCCGCCAACACTTTGGTCGACCTATTCTAAACCAAAGGCTACACTGTTAATCAATAATAATGTGGATATACGGAAATACTCAAAGCTAATTGCTTATTTGAAGAACAAGTCCGTTGGCCACAAACCCAAGAAATCAAGGACATTTTCTCGAGATGAAATGTACAAGTTTCTTCACAATGCTCCTGATGAACAGTTTCTTATGCACAAGGTATTAACAATTTGATCATTATACGCTTCATGATGTATTGTCGTTTACAGCTTTCTCTCATTTTTGGAATCCCGGGTGCCCTCCACCGTGAAAGAACTATACAAGATGACTGTGGAAGATATTAACGATACCGGACATGTGCTTATCATTACTATTCCGGATTCAAAACACATATTCAACGTCGATTTACCGTAATTGGCGAAACAAATCAGAAAAACCTCAATTTAATCGATATTTACCGAAAGTATAAATCTCAAAGACCAAAAAATATAAAAACTAAACACTTTGTCTTACAATATCGAAACGGCAATTGCAAAACCCAAGTTGTCGGTATAAATACCTTTTCTAAAATTCCATCAATTATTGCTAAGTACCTCAATTTACCAAATCCCGACCATTATACCGGACACGCATTTAGACGATCGTCTGCGTGGTTATTAGTTGATTCTGGAGGAGACCTAATTCAACTAAAGAAACACGGCGGTTGGAAGTCGAGCGTCGTTGCAGAAGGATACGTCGATGAATCTTTTCAAACTAAAATGGACAGCGCGAGTAAAATTCTTACAAATCAAACTTACCGAAATATTTCCAACCCAATAATCTCCACTGCGCATAATGATGATATTCTTAAATAGGTTGACGAATCTGTCAGTGTCACTCATTTAATGGATGTAAATCCAGCTTCAGCTTCCAAGATTCAAATTGTTAATCCCACTAATTGCACATTTAATATTAATATTTATAAATAAAACCCATTAGTATTTTGTTATTCTTATGCTTTAATTTTTTTAGGTACGAACGTGAAAAAAGTTTTGTACTTATGCAATTCGTGAGTAAAGTAAGTTTTTTCACTCGGCGGATTTGCGCACTCGCCTTCGGCTCGTGCGGCAAATCTTCCTTCTCGTGAAAAAAAGATA